GCAGCCCAGGAACCCCCAGCCCACACCCTGGTGGGTGTTGTGGCACCCGAGGTGTCGCCCGCCCTGCCCGGGGGACACTCGGCAGGGCAGGCACACAGGGACACCGGGAGCACCTCAGGGACCTGGAGGGTAATAAATGACCTGAGACTCGCAGAGCAAACACACCTCGGGGGCAGCGGCAACACCCAGGAATGCGGCGCCCGCGTTTCCTGGAGCTCAGGTGCGAGAGCGGGGCAGGGCACGGCGGGGCTGGTCCTGGGCTGCATCACAGCCTGGCACGATCACAGAATCAGCCAGGCTGGAAAAGACCTCCGAGGTTATCCAGTCCAACCCCTGATCCAGCCCCGCCGTGATTTCCAGCCCATGGCACTGATGCCACGTCCAGTCTGTCCTTAAACACCTCCAGGGACGGGGAATCCACCCCCTCCCTGGGCAGCCCATTCCAATGCTGAGCACTCTCTCTGTAAAGAATTTCTTCCTGATATCCAACCTAAACCTGCCCTGGCAGAGCTTGAGACCGAGCCCTCTTGTCCTACTGCTGCTTCCTGGGAGAAGAGACCAACCCTCACCTGGCTACAACCTCCTGTCAGGGAGGTGTAGAGAGAGTGATGAGATCTCCCCTGAGCCTCCTCCAGGCTCGAGAGGGGTGGATTTGGGGTACAGCAAATAAGTCCTCGGCAAGTATCACTGTTGTGCTGGACAGGCAGCAGGTCTGCAGCCAGTTTTACCTCAAGAAGAGGGTGGTCTGCTCAGGGAACACAGTTAAACCATAATTTCAGGACAGAGTTTGAGGTGACAACCCGGAATTAGGGCTAAAACCACTACACCATTCCAGGTTTTAAGAGCCTGAGCATGGATATTCCCTTCCTTCTCGAGTCTCTCCCTTAACTATGGTGTCTTCCATTTGCTTTCCGTGTCCCCTCCCTCAGTTCTTGTGCCTCTTCTCCCTTGTTTTTCGTGCTCCCCCTCACTTTCTGTGCCTCCCCCCGCCAGGGTAGGGCGAGGACTCGCTTCAGCCACCCAGGGCTTTTAAACCCCTTGGGAGAGCCCTTCAATTAAACAGCCCCTCGGTTTCAATTTTTTAACGAGCCCTTCAATTAAACAGCCCCCTCGATTTCAATTTTTAACCGGCTCAGTTAACAAACCAGGAAAAAAAAAAAAGGAAAGAGCTTTTTTTCCGAGCGGGAACCGCCGGAAAGAGTTAAAGCCGGAGCCGGGCAGCACCCACACCTCCGGGGGCTGGTAAACAACTCAACCAAAGACCCACCCCGTGCCGGCGGGGACCCGAACCCGCCGCTCGGCGCCCTCAGGGAGGAACGCGGTGGCCATGCCACGACCCACTGGCCCCGCAAGCTCCCACCCTTCACCGCCTTACCTCCCGTGGCGGGTCCCGCCGGTCCCTGCGCGGCCGCCTCGGCTCCTCCTCCCCTGCCCTCCCTCCTTCCCTCCCTCCCTCCCTTCCTCTTTCCTTCCCTCTCTCCCTCCCTCCTTCCCTCCCGCCCCTTCCTCGCCCGCCCCGCTTCCGGGAGCGGCGGAAGCGGCGCCGGGGACGGCACGGGGAGCCAATGAAACGGCGCGGCCGCCGGGGCGGCTTCCGGTTCCGGCGGGTATAAAAGCGCGCGCACGGCGCGGCCGCGAGGCAGTCGCTGAGGAGGCGGCGCGGGGCGGAGCGCGGAGCTGAGGGAGAGCCACAGGGTGAGCGCGGCCCCGGGAGCCCCATCAGCCCCGTCTCCGGGCGGGCACTCCCTATGATCTGTTTAGACTCTCGACGAGTTTACTCCCATATCTGTTTCGGCTCTTAGGGAGGGCTAGGGGTCCCCCCTGCGTCTGTTTGGGCTTTCGGAGGGGGATGAAGGATCGCTTGGGGGGTCCCCGCGTGTCTCTTGAGGCCCTCAGGGTGGGCGTGGGTTCCCCCACTGGGTCCGTCATAAAGGGTAGGGGTCGCCATGTGCGTTCGGGCCCTGAGGGTGGGGTTAGCCCTCTCCGTGTCTGCTCGGGCCGGGTTAGGGGTCCCTTGCTTCTGCCCCGGCCCTCGGGGGGTCGAGGTCGCCTGGTGGGGTCCTTGGAGGGCTCAGTGTTTGTTTTGAGCCCTCGAAGAAGGGATTTTGGGGTCGCCCTGCTTCTCTTTGGGCCCTCGAGAGGGGTTTTTGGGGTGTGGGGCCTGGGAGGAAAGGGGGGGATGGGCTTTATGTTGAGGTGTTTTTGCTTCCTCAGGTCTGTGGTAAAGGTGTGTGAGGAGGTGTGTTTGGGGGTCCCTGGGAAAAGCACGGGAATCACAGAATCCTGTGATGGTTTGGGTGGGAAGGGACCTCAAAGCTGATCCCGTTCTGACTCCTTGCCGTGGGTAGGGACACCTTCCACTAGACCTGTGCTTGTCTTCTCAGACATGTATGTATCTATGTGTATTTTGAGGGAAGAAATAGATAAAATAGGCATCTTCCTACATTGCTCCACAGACCCCTCAGAGCTTAATTTACAAGACACCTCCATATTGCCCCTCGCATCAGAGAGGGGCTCCTTCAGCGCTGCTCTTGGGGCTCCCTGATGTATTAAACCCCTTCAGCACCTGGGGACACATCAGGGCTCTGTGCTGTCCCTGCTCTGTTCCCCCTGGGGAGCAGCTGACAGCTCCCTGTCCTTCCTGCCTGCAGGCTGGTTGGGATGGCGGACGAGGAGATCGCTGCCCTCGTGGTGGACAACGGCTCGGGCATGTGCAAGGCGGGGTTCGCGGGGGACGACGCGCCCCGCGCCGTGTTCCCCTCCATCGTGGGGCGGCCCCGGCACCAGGGCGTCATGGTAGGCATGGGGCAGAAGGACAGCTACGTGGGGGACGAGGCGCAGAGCAAGAGGGGCATCCTCACGCTCAAGTACCCCATCGAGCACGGCATCGTCACCAACTGGGACGACATGGAGAAGATCTGGCACCACACCTTCTACAACGAGCTGCGCGTGGCCCCCGAGGAGCACCCGGTGCTGCTCACCGAGGCCCCCCTCAACCCCAAGGCCAACCGGGAGAAGATGACCCAGATCATGTTTGAGACCTTCAACACCCCGGCCATGTACGTGGCCATCCAGGCCGTGCTGTCCCTCTACGCCTCCGGCCGCACCACCGGCATCGTGATGGACTCCGGGGACGGCGTCACCCACACGGTGCCCATCTACGAGGGCTACGCGCTGCCCCACGCCATCCTGCGCCTCGACCTGGCCGGCCGCGACCTCACCGACTACCTCATGAAGATCCTGACGGAGCGGGGCTACAGCTTCACCACCACGGCCGAGCGGGAGATCGTGCGGGACATCAAGGAGAAGCTCTGCTACGTGGCGCTGGACTTCGAGCAGGAGATGGCCACGGCCGCCTCCTCCTCCTCGCTGGAGAAGAGCTACGAGCTGCCCGACGGGCAGGTCATCACCATCGGCAACGAGCGCTTCCGCTGCCCCGAGTCCATCTTCCAGCCCTCCTTCCTGGGCATGGAGTCCTGCGGCATCCACGAGACCACCTTCAACTCCATCATGAAGTGCGACGTGGACATCCGGAAGGACCTGTACGCCAACACCGTGCTGTCCGGGGGCACCACCATGTACCCCGGCATCGCCGACCGCATGCAGAAGGAGATCACGGCGCTGGCCCCCAGCACCATGAAGATCAAGATCATCGCCCCGCCGGAGCGCAAGTATTCCGTGTGGATCGGCGGCTCCATCCTGGCCTCCCTCTCCACCTTCCAGCAGATGTGGATCAGCAAGCAGGAGTACGACGAGTCCGGCCCCTCCATCGTCCATCGCAAGTGCTTCTAGAGGGGCTGCTGGCAGCCACCCCGGGCTGTCCCTGCCGGGATGACCTCCTCCTTCCACGTTGGACCAGAATTGTCCCACTGTTCCTTATCCCACATTTTAACTAACTTGTTGAGGTACCAATTAGTGATGTGCATTTTAATGGCCCATTAGGCTGTAGTTTTTCCTGTGGCTTCTGCTCCTCTTCCTCGTGGCTCTCTGGGGCTTGGAAGCAGGTAGAGGGTTGTTCACTTTCCCTGTGTAATGCGGATAGGATGACACTAAACTTAGTTTTGTCACCTTTAGGTTTGTCACCTTTAGGTTCCTTTGTAGGAAAACAAATAAAGTTCCAAGGTTTAAACACTAGAAGAGCTGATTTTGCTTTATTTCAGGGTGGGTTCTCTATCCCCTTGAATTATTATGTGATAGATTTGGGACTCAAACCTGGCCTGTAGCTAAAACTTACCCAAATTTTGTTTTCTAAATTCTCTTTAAATCCTGTCACAGCCCCTGGTGCTGCTCGGACCATTTTAAGAGCTGTTAGGGAGGAAAGCGTGCCTGGAATGTGGCTCTTGCAGCCTGGCTGGACTTTCATGGTAACTCGGCTTTTTTTAGAACACAAACAGCTCTTCTTGTCAGAAAAAGTTGGAGCCTTGGCAGAGGATTTGGTGGCTGAAGCAGTGGCCTCTCCTTTTTTGGGAGAGGGTGAGGAGATGGGGCAGCAGATAGTGCCGAAGAGCGCTCAGCCCGGGGACGCCGGTCCCTGCCGCGATCGGGGGCTATCTGCAGGAGCTCCTCATCCACGCTGGAGGGATGGCAAGCGCTTAATTAATGAGGTGTGGTTAATTAAAGGTGAGCGCGCCGCCGGCCGCCCTCCCATTGGCTCGTCACGGCCACGCCAGCCAATCAGCAGCGTCTCCACCGGGGGGCGTTGCCGCGTACTCTGTGGGACTCCATTTCCCAGCGCGCACCGCGCGGCCTGCGGGCAGTTCCGGTTCTGGTACGCGGGGCTGCGGTAGCGCGGGGCTGAGGGGAGGGGGCACGGCCGGGGCCGAGCGGGGTGAGGGGACACGGGACACGGCCGGGACCCCTGAGCGCCTGAGGGGGGCCGGGTCTGGGGCTGGCACTGCTGGGACCCTTCCTGAGGGCAGGCGGGCTCTGGGGACGTCGCGGGGGGCGGGGGTGGAGGCTGGCGAGGCTAATCGCTGAGGGGTTTGGTGGGTGATGGTGGGTGGGTCTCACCGGGGCCCACCTTCCCCCGTTCCAGAGCTGTGCGGGTCCCCGTCCGGCTTGGCCGCGCTCGGGGAGAGGCTGCCATGTCCCTGCCCGAGTGGCACATCGCCGTGAAGCTGGCGGAGCAGCCGCTGGCTCCCAAATCCATCCTGCACCTCCCGGAGACGGAGCTGGGCGAGTGCCCGCTGGGCGGCTGCAGCATCTCCCACCTCAAGCAGCTCATCACCGGGAAGCTGCAGGAATCCATCCCGGACCCCGAGCTCATCGGTGGGTGCCCCGCCTGGATCCTGTCACGGTCCTGCCGCTTGAGGACACCCTTTTCCCGTCTTCGCCGCGGCTGGGACACAACATCCTGCTGGTGCTGGTGGTGGGAGGGTTCGGCACAGCCGGATAACGCGGGGTGAGGGTTCAGAGCTCTGCTGTACACACAAGATCTGATACCATGTGGTTTGGGTAGAATATTCCCTATTTTCTTGGGTTCGCAGAGCTCCAGTAGTATCAGTGCCCTCGTTAAGGAGTCTTTGGGCTTCCAAACACCTCTGTGCCCTTGTGAGATCTCTCATGAGAGCTGTGAGAGAGGTTGGCTCTTCTAGGGGAGGTGGCAAAGTCCCCTTCTGTGTATGAACTCCACGATTTCCTCCCTGAACCTCAGCTCCACAGCTTCCCTGTGTTGTTCCCTGGGCAGAGATATCCCTCAGAGCTCTAAGTCACACTTTCTGAGGGGGCCACAGAAGTTCATCTTTAGGTGTTTCTCCCCCCACTAGACCTGATCTACTGTGGCCGGAAGCTGAGGGATGACCAGACCCTGGATTTTTATGGCATCCAGTCCGGCTCCACCGTCCATGTCCTGCGCAAGTCCTGGCCTGAGCCTGATCAGAAACCAGGTGAGGAGCAGGCAGTGGGGGTTTATCTCTCAGATCTCCTTGAGGTATGTTCTTAAGGGACTGAGGAACAGCTTCTCTTGATTTGTTCCTGAAGTTTCCAGGCGGAATTAATCCATTTGTTTGGGAGCTCCCCGCCTCTAACAGCAGCAAATGGGTGTTAATTTTCTTGCTGACGGAAGAGTTCAGGAATGAGCTGTGCAGCCTGAATGTTAGGGTGTTGCAAGAGAATCTGGAGCAAACCTCCTGGTTCTTCAGCAACAGGGATGAGCAGGCTTGTGTGTGCTCCTGCTCTACCTGACTGTAGAGTAAACTGGGATGGTTTAGACTTGTTGTTTCTTTAATACAGCTCCTTTGGTACATGTAGGAGGATATTTCTATATATTTTTGTTACCTGACAGTGCAGTAAGTTGTTACTCTGTGTAACTTTGGCAAGACACGGACTGAACGCAAGGATATTAAAGAATCCCCACTGCTGTTGCATCATGGAAGTCCCAGTGGGATGTAAAACTGTTAAAGTTTAAAGCTGACAGAGGGAGGTCTGTGTTTTGTTCTGTTCTTTACCCTTCCTCAGAGCCTGTGGATAAGGTGGCAGCAGTCCGGGAATTCCGTGTTCTGCACACTGCTCTGCACAGCAGCCCTGCCTACAGAGATGCTGTGAGTGGGGCTTCCTCCTGGGCTTTTGGGGTGATTTTTGGCTCTCCCATCCCTCTGAGGAGAAGCCCACGGTGGAGCCAGGTTGGGTGATGCTGCTGGTCTGCTCTGGTTTCCCTGGCAGGTCTTCAAAATGCTGGGAAACAAGGAGTCACTGGATCAGATCATTGTAGCCACTCCTGGCCTCAGCAGCGACCCTGTTGCTTTGGGTGAGTCTAAATGTGATCCAGAGGATCTGAGGAAAGCCAAATAAAGGTTTAATTCCTGACAGGGGGAAGGGAGAGAGAAAGCCAAGTCTGGGTATAATTCCTGATAGGGGGGAGGAAGTATTGCCCTTGTCTCAGAAAACCAACCTTTTTTTTTTATCCCTTTGTGGACCATAAAAGTCAGTGACCGCTTAGGTGTCAGAGTTGTGCTCCACTGGGAATGTTTGGGCATGGGTGTTGGCTTCAGAAGGGTTAGGGAACAGTGGGGATGAATGCTTTCTCCTTGCTGCAAAGTGTTACCAAAATGTCCATTAAATTTAACTTGCTTGTTCTGGCCCGGGATGATGCTAGTCTGAGGCATGTAGAATTTGGGATGCAGTCACAGCCTGGCGGGAGTGAGCTGGGGGCCAGATTGGATCCTTCCCTTAAGATGGAGCATCCATGAGATCTGCTGGGAAGGCCCCATCCCTTGGTTGTGTGGCTGTAGTCAAAGGTCTCTCCAGGAAGACGTGAAAGGCTTGAGAGAGAACAATAATAAGAGTATTTATGTTTGCTTGTGACTCAGTTCCTGTAAAACAAAATGGCTTTTGTTTGACTGACTCCTGTTCCTTGTATCCTGTCCCATCATGTTTCCTGGTCCTTTCCAGGAGTCCTGCAGGATAAGGATCTCTTTTCAGTGTTTGCAGACCCCAACATGCTGGACACGTAAGTTCATGTAAGCTGGGGCAGTGACTCAGCAGTGCTTTTGTCTCACTGTGCGTCAACTGCTTCTCTCTGGGGCTGGACAGAGGGCTCTGTTCCTGCCTGCCGGTATGGATGCACCAGGATTCAGGCCAGGACACTTCTCCCTCAGCAGCAGGAAAGAGAGATATACCACTTGGATTAAACCAAAGGATAGTTAGTGGGAGCCAGGGCCATCACTGTCTCCAGATCATGAGTTCAGATCTGGATCTGGTTGCTCACACCAGAGTTGCTCCCATGAGAGTACGTGGGAGATGTGAACCATGGAAAGTTCAACATGGGATCAAGAAGAAGACTCAGATGCCTGGAGGTGTTTGTTCTGGATACCAGTGGTGTTGGTGCAGCCAGTGGACATGGCTATGCCCTCAGCTTTGAAGGGCTGATTTCTTAGTTTCCCTGTGTACATGATTCATTCTTCCCTTGCTTTTCTCCAGGCTGATCCCAGCTCACCCTGCCCTTGTGAATGCCATTGTCCTTGTCCTGCACTCAGTGGCTGGCAGCACCCCGCTCCCAGCCCCGGAGACATCCTCCCGAGCCATGTCCTCTGGCTCCTACCGGGACATGCCAGGTACGTTCAGCCACACAGGTGCTGGGGAGCCTGCAGGAATGATGTGCTGCAGAATTTGCAGGCCACTGTAAAATCATGGAATCACAGGCTGGTTTGGGTTGGAAGGGAAATTAAAGGTGATCGAGTTCCACCCCCTACTGTGGGCAGGGATACCTCCCCACTAGACCAGGTTGTTCGAGCCCCATCCAACCTGGCATTGAACACTTCCAGGGATGGGCAGTCCCCATCTGTGCTGTACTGACATAGTCACCCCCAGGCTGGAAGGACAAGAGGTTTGGGTTCCTGAGCTGGAAATACTTACTGTGGTTTGATAGATTTTGTACTGGGTGAGACCCACCGGAGGCATTTTGTCCTTGGGGCTTCTTCCAGCCCTGTGTGTGTGCTCAGTGTTGACTGTGGCCTCTGCAGTGCCCAGAGAATGGGCCTGACTTGTCTCCCACTGCACATGAACTTCTTGGTGCTGAGGTCTCTGTCCTAACTTAGTGGGATTCTCACCTGGTACCTAATTCCTACCAGTCTTCTACATCCATTTATTCTCCTTCCTGGTGCAGGTGGCTTTCTCTTTGAAGGTCTCTCTGATGATGAAGATGACTTCCACCAGGTAAGCAGTCAGTTTAGGTGGAACACCTGTTTTGGCCTTTGGGCTTAGCTTGTAGCCCTGAGACTCCAAAGCTTTTCTCTTCCTGTCTGATGAACAGCATGAGCTGCTCTGGCTCCTGAGGGTATTGTGGAGACAAACATATTGATTGTGGTGTGCTTGGATGCTGTTCAGGAGAGGATTTTCTTGAGTGCTGAACACACAACATAAGAATAGAACAGCACATGTCCTCAGAGGAAACACCTTCATAGCCAAATGGATGCAGGGATAGTTGTGTTTGGATGAGAATCATGGGAATGTTGCTCCCTGCCCTTCTGCAGTCTTCCTCTCCAAAGGACAAAGTGTTTTGTAATAGAAACTGGATATTTAGGCCAAAGAAGTGCCTTTCCAGGGCGAATTGTTTTGTTACAGGTTAATAACACTCTGGGTTTAGTCTGGTGAATGACATATTAAAAGGCTTACAGCCAGTTTCCATAGCTGAGTTTGTGGAAAAAAGCACATCCCACCCTGTCATGTTTGTTTTTAAAAAGTCCCACACTTGTGAGGTTTGAGTATTTTTGGAAAGGGATCTGTGGGAATGCGCAGGTGAGCCAGGTTTTACTGGGGCACAAACAACAACAATCTGAGGTGTGTTTTGGTTTTTCCTCTCCATGCAGAGCACGAGGTCCACACCGTCCAGCAGCACTTCTGGCTCCCGCCCGGCCTCCCTGGGCTACACGGGGGCTGCGGGACCGCGGCCCATCACCCAGAGCGAGCTGGCGACGGCGCTGGCGCTGGCCAGCACCCCGGAGAGCAGCTCCCACACACCCACCCCTGGCACCCAGGTAACAACAGCCACAAGCCTGGCTCAGGTCTGGGGCACCTGGCTTCTTTGTTTCCTCAGGACTGAGTGCTCTTCCATGTGAGGCTGAGGATGGAGGGGTGGTGCAGGCATTGCTCTGTGCTGGCTCTGGTTCCTTCTAAGTGTTCTCCTGATGTGGGTGTACAACTTATTTCCTCCTAGGGTCATTCCTCTGGGACATCCCCGATGTCATCCAGTGTCCAGTCAGGAACACCCATCACCAACGACCTGTTCAGCCAGGCCTTACAACATGCCCTGCAGGCCTCAGGGCAGCCCAGCCTGCAGGTCAGTGTCACAGCCTCTTCTTTCAGGAGCCCGTGGAGTCCCTTATCCCACTGCTGCAGTGTGGAGGTGGTTCTTCCAGCACCCTCCTGTGGCAGGACATTAAGCTGGAGGGGGTGTGACAGACCACTGTAAAAGTACTGGTTGGAACTGAGGTGGTGGGATAGTGGATTTGGGGATTTTGCAGGAAGAACTCGAGCTTTCAGGATCTGTTTGCACACTTAGCACTGTGGTTGTGAGCTAGAGGAGGAGGGATAATGCAGCATGGAAGAGTGGGCTGTGGAGAAGACTTTTTTTTTCCTGTTTGGACTCTCACACCCACCTTAACTGCTTTTCTTTCCTGTGTGTAGAGCCAGTGGCAGCCACAGCTCCAGCAGCTGCGAGACATGGGAATACACGATGATGAACTAAGTCTCCGAGCCCTGCAGGCCACTGGTGGGGACATTCAGGCTGCCCTGGAGCTCATCTTTGCTGGTGGGGCTCCCTAAATTTTTGGCTGGACTGGTGAGTTGCCCTGAGGCAGCCGTGACATTCGTGAGTCTGGGGCTTGGCCCTCATTCTTCGCACTGGGGTTCCTCTCTCCAGCATGGAGCAGCTGGAGTGGCTGCCCCTTTCCTTGCTCTCCTATTTGGGAGCACTGAGCATGCTGAGGGCAGCTCCTCCAGCTTCAGATACTCTCTCCAACCTCCTCCTTCTGGCTGCCAGGGACAAGACTTTAGGACTCTGTCCAGCATGGAGAAAGGAAGAAGTGGCTTTGTGTTGGAGAGACGTGACCCCTTCAGTTCTGCAATCTTTGGTCTGTCTACGTGTTCTCCTGCCTGTTGTTTCATTCCTGCCCACCTGATATGCCTCAGTCCACCTTTCTGTGCTCCCTCTATTAAATGGGCTGTATTCCCTTGCCTGTTGTCTGGGTTGTGATCTGTTCTGGGTTGTGTTCCAGATCTCTGGGGTGACGTGCTCATGGCGTGAAGGGATCTGGAGGAAAAGCTTTGCCTTTGTAGGAGGCTCTTGTTTCAGCAGAGGGCACTCCCATGCAAGCTGACAAGGATGAGGGTCCAGGAGTTCATGGCCACCACGAAGTGACAGTAACAAAAGAATGACAAGCACAAGGGTTGAGGCCATTGCCAGAGTGAGAGGTGGAGAAATGCCACCGATACAGCCCAGTCTGGCTGCAACCAGTGTTTGCCAAAGTGCCTTCTAATCCTGGGGCCATGAGGTGCCCAGGACCTGGGATGGAAAACCAATTAAATCTATTTGCCTGTAATTACAATCAGTGGGAGCTGAGAGAAGCCAGGCACGGGGAGCTGGGCCTGGCATCAGTCTGACTGTACCATTGAGATTAACGAGGCATGAAAATGGGAGCGGGTTTGCCTGAAATGCCACCGTGCATGTTAAGAGCAGAAAATACTCTCCTGCTTTACCTTCAGGCTGCTGTGCTCCCCTCTAATTCCTCTCCGAGCTCTCTGATCCTTGCTGATACCATCTCAGCTATCACCCAGCAAATGTGGGATTGTTCTCTCCAGGGTAGCCCTTGACTGATAGGCTTTAATCCTGTCTAGAGGATTAAGACTCTTGGGAGGGAGGGACTGTTTTTATGTTTCAGTATGTAGGAGATAAGATGTGATGGACATGAATGGCTTTCCTGACTATACACCCTTCCAGGTTCCTGCCCTCAGTATGAACTCTGGAAGCCCAGTCTAAATGATGGCTGGGATTTTACGTGTAAGAAAACTGATTAATCCCTTCCCTTCGCTCCTGGCTTTGCTGGGGGAGGAAACAGCATATGCACAGCATCCTCCCACCCTTCCCTACTGGGGAGACAAGCCCTGCTGTCAACCCCCAATCCTCCCGGGATAACTGCGGATTAGCCGTATCACAGATGCTCCTGCCCAAAGCTGAAAAGCACTTGCAGGCTCTCCTGGATCTGCTCTGTGAGACCAGAGCGACCAGTTCGTTTTCCTGTACTGTGTCAATTCTCAGGGTTATTGGTGTCCCAAAATGGTATTTTTTTTTCCTGTCCTGACCTCACTCCTAAGATTTGATCTGTTTGTGGATCCTCATTTGATATCAAGTAGTTTTTTTCTGGCTATTTCTGCTCCCCCATGTCCCCAGATAACTGAGAACTGCCTGGATATTTGGGATGGAAACAACTTTTTCCTGATTTCTTTCACAAATGGCATTACTTGGCTTGGAGCAGCAGCAGCTCAAACACATTCCCTGCCTGAACTGGCTGTATCAGAGGAGAACTTGGCAGCGCTGCCACTCACGACGCGACTGCTGCGTGCGCTTCGCTTCCCTCGCCTCGCCTGCCTTCGGCTGCCTGGAATAGACGTGCTCAGCAACCAGGCAAATTTAGAGCTGCAGGGATGGGAAGAGAGGCTCTGCCTGGCACCTGCAAGGCTGCTGATGGAGGGGGAGGAAGGGGGAACATTGCTGCAGGAGCTCTTGTAGGAGGGTGGAAGCTCGAAGCAACTTAGAAGTGACTGCAGCGGCCAGGTGAGCGCTGGCTCCTCACCTGCTCCAGCGGCTGAGGGGCTCTTGCCTCCAACTGGGAGATAGAAGGGATGCTTACAGGGCTTTGCAAGGGCATGGAGTGGTAGGACAAGGGAGGATGGCTTTAAACTGAAGGTTTAGATTGGGTATTAGGGAGGAATTCTTCCCTGTGAGGGTGGTGAGGCCCTGGCACAGGTTGCTCAGGGAAGCTGTGGCTGCCCCATCCCTGGAAGTGTTCAGAGCCAGGTCAGATGGGGCTTGGAGCAACCTGTTCTCGTAAAAGGCATCCCTGCCCATAGCAGGGGTTGGAATGAGATAAACTAAATCGTCACTGGCTGACAGATTTGCTCTTTGGGAGCAAACTGCAATGTGCTGTCTCCCACCTGCCCAGTCCTTGTGGTCCATCCTTGGTGCTGCTGCCCTGACATGTTCCCCTCCTCCTGCCCCACCCTTGGTTTTTCCTCCCATGTTTGGATTAAAGATGCACCTGTTTTGGTTGGATCTCAGTTTATCTGTGTCCTGCCTGCGTGCTCAACCTTCACCCCTGATCCATTTGCCAGCCAAGCTTCTGTGCCTGACGCCTCACCGGGAGCAGACTGGGAAGTGCTTGGCTAACCCTGGGAAAATGTGGAGGTCAGGCCACAGTTCCTCAACGTAAGCAGGGACCTCCTGTTTCTGACATCAAAGAGAAACTTTTGTTTCAGTTCCCTCTTTGCGTGTAGAGGAGCTGACAAGGGAAGCTGTAGCAGTGGGTGTTTACAGCAGGGATGGGAGCAGCTGTTTTCCCTCCTGTGTTTTCCATAATCTTGTTACTCATTCTCATAGCTTGACCATCACTGTGGACACCTGGAGGGGGTGTTAGCTTGGATGGGATCTGGGCTCTGCACCATATGTGCCCTGCTTTTTTTACTTTGGCCAACTTGAGGGCTGTTTCACTTTGCCTCCTTCATTTTGAGCTGACCGTCTCCGTGAGGAGCAAAACAGTGCTGGAAGGGGGTTAATTTTCCAGCAAAAGGGTGAAATGGAGATGGAGAGGAATCTGCTGGATGGCTTTTGCAGTACCTCAAACTCTGTGACTGCCCACCTCCCTCTTCCTCTGCTTTCACAATGATGCTGGAGCCCTTCCCATGTGGGAAGTGAACCCAACTGACAGGATCTATCCCGGGAGCAGACGTTGGTGTTTGAGGCATTCATTGTTTCTGTGCAGACACGGATCTCCAATGTGGGTGTGCTTGGGTGGCTTGTTGCATCAGATCAGAAGTTGCCTTCAGCCCTGATTTCTGACTTCCTGTGACTTGTGTTGGACAGATTTCCATGGAATAATGTTTCTCCCTTGCTCCCCCAGCCAGACAGAAGCTCCTAGTGTTCCCTGCCAGAGAAACTGTATTTTCCCCATCACATTATGGGGCTACACACCTTGGCCCCTCAGGGACATTAATCTTCTCTGGCACATTGATTCAGAATATTAGTGAAGGCGACTTTCTCCAGTGCTCCAGAATTTGCTTGGGCAGCCTGGCAGGATACATCCAGCAGGAACAGCAGCAGGAATTAGTCTGGCAGAGTCTTTGCCTATCAGCTTGCTTTCTTTGCAGAGGGCTCGGCGGTTTCCTGGCCGCTCCCAGCTTTGTCCTTGTAGGAAATGACAATACACAAGATAACTTACAGTTTTCCTTCTTTTTCCAGTTTTGTGCTGGTTCAGTGAGCTAAAGGGTGTCACCAAGTGGGACAGGCTAGTGGCAGGGCCGAAGGAGGAGGGGACAGCAGGACTTGGTGGTATTTCCTTGAAAATAATGACATCTTGGTCTTACTCTTTCTCAGGGAAACTTTAGAGGAAGGAGGAAAGTTTTCCTGATGCTGGGACAGCTGATCAGAAATGAGGTGAGAGCCCAAAGATAGGGCAGGGGACACAGTGCAGCTTCCCAGCAGCCTTTGTCCTGAGGGATTTGGTCCCTTTCTTAGCATGAATCAACGTTTTCCTTCAGAAGTGACAAAAAGGGAGGTCTGATTTTAGTCATCAAAGCATCCTTTTAAGGATGCAGATTTGAGAGTCCACGTGATGTTAACTGGAGAACAGCACAATAATCCTGTGTGGTTTTAAAAGCATCTGACTCTGTTTTAACTTGGGGAAAGCAGAAATGGACTGAAAATGTCACACTGTTGAGAATATTTCTATTTCCTTCTATATTTATAATATTCTAATATTTATAAACACTGTGACTTATAAATAATCCTTTGATTTATAGTATCACATGTAGTTCTAGTCCTGCGTCACAAAGATGAGTTTTAAGAGTATGGCAAGCAAAAGGAAAGTTCAGAGGGAAGAAGATAAACATCCCCTGCTCCATCCTTTGAAGTCTAAGACAATGGTGGAGCCACTGGCTTTGAACATGAAGCTTCCTGGCTCTGGTCCTCTTGAACTGAGCCTGAAAATTAAAAACAAACCAAGAAAACCCAACCCAATGCTTGCAAGGTGAGACCAGGTGATTCTGGAGAGCAACCTGGTCAGGTGGGAGGTGTCCCTGCCCATGGCAGGGGGTTGGAACAAGGTGGGCTTTAAGGTCTTTCCAACCCAAACCAACCTGGAATTCTGTGATTTCTGGCCATGCAGTGTTCCTGGCTGAATTCTGGGTGTTCCAGGCTGCCAGCACACAGAATGGTTGGCCCAAAATCCCTTTGAGAGGTGGTTGGGGTTTTTTTCCCCCCTACCACTGAAATAAATACCTTGCTGATTTAAGAGCACGGTCTGCTTGTTCAGCAGGGATGAATTAGTTGAGGTGTTGAGTTTGAGAGCTGTGGAGTTCCAGCCCAGGAGCCATAAAAGCATCAGATGGGTTGTGTAGGATCAGAGCCAGAGTTCCCTGTCTTCCTGTAATGACCAAGAACAGATGCTGCAGAAGAACTTAACAGGATGAACAGAGAAAATCTGTCTCTAATAGATTTTCCAGCATCCGGTTGTCTGAGGTGTAGGGATTTTCAGACCTAGATGTGGGGTGTTAACTATTAACAGACCCCCCCTCATGACCCTTTTCTTTAAACACAGATAAACTGGTAGGCTCTGTGCCACCCTGCATCCAGGAGTCCTGTGGAGTGGCCACAGGTTCCAAGTCTGTTCAGCAGCTGGAAGCAGAAGGTGACATGCAGACTGTGGCACAGGTAACTTCTGGGACACTGGTCCAAGTAAAGCTCTGAGGTTTAATTTTTGGGTGCCTGGGACTCCTGTGGCCACTGAGGCAGCAAGAGCTGACAAGGACAGCTGGGGAGCTGGGCAGTCGGGTAGAAAATTGTCTTTTAATCTGACTGGAGCAGAAGGAGCTGCTGATGAGAGCAGAACTCTGTGATCCCCCAGCAGTGCTCGGCCTGCTGCCCTGACATCCTGCAGAGCACACTCCAAACTGTTTACCTCTG